TTCCTCTCCTCGATCCTGCAGGAAATGGGTGAGGAAGTCACACCCACGGAGGAAACAAAGCGAGGAGAGAGGATCTAAACTCCTCACCTAAGGGCCTGTTTACATGAGAACACTTGCGGGTAAAAAAACCCAAAATATTTCATCTGATGTGCCTTTCTGTGACGACGTTTTTGGGGCTTAAAGGTTGTATAGAGGATTTTTTTAAGAGAAATACAGTGACCGTCCTTGTGCGCGTTCAGAATTACTGTTGAAGTTTCCTGTCTAGAGGTAATTTATCGACCGACGCGTCAGTTTTTAGACCCTTCGTCTGTTTCATTCGCACCATCACTGGAAGGAATCTCCAAGAATCACCTCAGTTTAGCTTCGCTCCTTTTCTCCTTCTCTTCTTCTTTCAGCGACCTCAAAAATGGACTTTCTTTTGCGGCGAACTGGTCGTGGATTCTCGTCCACCATCGTGACAAACTTTGTGCGAAATGCGAGGAAACTACAGTTTGAAAACGCCTTTAAGAACCTCTACATAAACCACATAATCCCCACGCGCCGACAAGTCAGTTACACTAGGGAGTTTGATTGACAACCTAACAGCCAATAGAAAATGAAGGAACCTCGTTATCTATTGGCTGATGTTTATCTGTCCTCACTACGTCCACAGTTGATAGATTTTCATTCTTTTTTTTTTTGGTCATCATAATTACAAAGCTGCTGCGTCTCTATAATGGTATTTTAATCTTTCATTGACAATTTGAAACAAAAAAAAAAATCCTCCATACAACCTTTAAAAATGCAAAAATCTGAAACCACCCTCCAGAGTGGAAAAGTCGAATATACTCCACTGTAGCGTTTCCGTCTACACTGCCCAAGACACAAAACTCTGGTCAGATCTGCTCGTGTCGTGCACGTGTTTACGTCACATACATCACCACCGAGCCGCCTGGCATGCATACACAATTGAATTCCACACACTTTTGCTTCACTGTACGCACGCAGATTTCCTCCCGAAAACCCTCGTCTAAACATAGAATAAAAAGTGAAGACGCAATGCTACTTTTGCCTCTTCTTTTCAGACCGTCGTCATATAAACGTAGCCTAAGACCAATAAATTTAGGACTCAAGCCAAGCCAAAAGTCAAGATTATCCCAAAGATCAGAAATCTTGCTTCATCGCAGATTGTGCAGTGGACACTTAAGCTTAAAACACAATACTGTATGTAGCTTGGACTCATTCACTCCACACTTGCTGGTAAGCCGCTACTGTAGCCGCAGCTGCCCTGGGACAAACTGAGGGAAGAGAGAGGCTACCAATCTGTACGATCAACACCACTTTTAGACCAGGGTATGTCTGTCTGTCACTTTGCCTAAGGACAAAGTGACAGTCTTTTCCACTGGTTCTCCACTGGTGTTCCCAAGTCTCCCATCTAAGTCCTAATCTGGCCTGGCTGCTTAACTTCTGAGATCTGATGAGATGTTTTATTGTCATATAGTTCTTGTTAGCTCAACTATGATGGCAAAACTCTGCTCTGGTCTTTGAAAGCTGTGAAAAGTGTTTGTAAACTCATTGCAGTAAATAATTAGGATGATCGGAGTAACTTTGGACCACTGCAAAAAATATATTTCATAAACTAGTTCTTTTTTTTACGTTTTAAAACCGCAAAAAACTGATACAGCTCCTTCGATTTCTTGTCAATATGAACACAGTTTTCTCTTCTTGCTTTTGCTTGTACCGTTTCTTGTCACTAAACCTCCGTATTTTCAGAGCGAGTCCGCAGATGCGCTGATGTCTTCTGCATTCTCCGTCATAAACCTGAGCAGGATTCTCCACACTTCCTCACATGGCTCACAGTCACCAACCCGATGACCAGAGGAACCGTCCCTGTGCTGTCTGCGGTCCTTCTCTTCGGCCCCAGGTGCAGGATCAGCTCCACAGATTTCCATAACTCACGGAGACAGAACAAGACGAGCTTCTGAAGTGATGTGTGGTGATTTTACTGGGGGATAAAATCTGTTTACTGCGGTCATAAATGGAAGACTCCCTTGGCTGCAGTTAAGTCTTTATGAGGAAGTACAGCCGTGAATCCTGTCATATTTGCACTGAGAGACCAAGATTGACAAGCATCTGCATATTGACTTTCTGAGCACAACTTGTAGGAGATTTTAAAGGTGCATTGTGTAACTTTTCTTCATGGAGATGTTCTTGCTTCGTCTGGAATGTTTCACAGTATGGTATCTCCCCCTAGCCTGATTCATCAGCTGGTTTCACTTTGTGGAAACCGTCTGATCTCGCAGCATTAGGATTCATTCGCTCGACGGTAGGCGGGTACTTTTTTATTTTACCAATCACTGCTATTTGGTTGTGACGTATGTAATGCGCCAAATCCTGTAGGAAGAAGGGAGATAATGTCTTTCCCTTTGATAAAATTCACCAAACATTCTCTTTGTTCTGGCTTGAAATCTTCGATCTCGGGAATCGTTGCCAACACAGAATGTGTGACTTCGTCTACATCAGGGGTCTCCAAGCTGTAGGTTGGGAGTAACCAATAGCTCTCCACCCTCTTCAAATTAGGGCAAGGCAAGTTTATTTGTACAGCACAATTCGTACACAAAGCAATTCAAAGTGCTTTACAGAATAAGAAATACACTAAAATCATAATAAAAACAAATAAAAACATAATCATGAAGATTAAAAAAAAAAAAAAAAGAGAGACATAAATTGGAGAGAAGAGTGAGGAATGAAACCTTTCAGTTTTATGCACAGTTAAACAGAAATGTTTTGAGTCTGATTTAAACAGCGTACAGAAGAGTCTGTCTCACATGTTCAGATTTCCAGGTTTTAGCTGCATGAATGAAACTCTGACTCCCCTTGTTAGTCGTGACTCTGGCACCAGCAGGAGTTGGTCCCTGAGCTCCTGAGATGTTTCATATGACACTAACATGTCACAGATGGACTTTGGTGCTCGGCCATGGAGACACTTGTACAAGCAGAGCTGCTTAAAGTCTCTGAGCCACAGGAGCCAGTGCAGAGACCTGAGCACAGGACTATGTGCTCGTACTTCTAGTTCGAGTCAGGACCCGAGCTGCAGCGTTCTGGATATGTTCTGCAGCGTCTCACAGCTCGTTTGGAGAGACAGTGAGCAGAACATTACAGTATCTAACCTACTGGAGACAAACACATGGATAAGTTCTCCAAGTCTGATTTAGACAGTAAACCTTTGATTTTCACTATGTTTTTTAGATGGTAAAAGCTGCAGATGTTATTGATTTGATGTGGCTGTTAAAGTTCAAGTCTGAGTCCATTATTACCCCTGGATTTCTTGCTCACCAAAGGATTTCTGAATCGTAAGTATTGTGCTGAATAACTAAAATTTGATTAAATGAAATGTCTGTTACCATTGTAAATGTGATGAGTATCTTTGTGCACTAATAACTGGACAATAGATCTGTAAATGTTTTACAGCCATCAAACTGTACCGCATCTAATATTATATTTACTCAATTTCTTGCGCGGCTAAAATGAGTGGCTCTCTCTCATTTTTATTCTGAAAAAGTAGCTCCCCCGAGGAAAAATGTTGGAGACCCCGGTCTTCATCTTCATCTTGGCCACTTTGTTTACTGTTGTGTTGTACCACAAAAGGGTCCCAGACCCAGACCTAGTGTATTCTGATTCCTGACCTAGTCACTGGAGAGAAATGAAATTAAGCGGAGGCACTAGGTGGCGCCAGCCTGGCTAATGTCCTTCTACTCTGATGTACAAATACTACAACACAAAACACACTGAGGCACTACAAAACAAAACAAACATCACATCAAACACAACACAACACAACATAACATAACATAGACTACAGCCCCATGGATCATGACCGAAAGGGTTTAGGCTGAAGTAAAAAGTACAATGACAAAATTCCAAGAAAGAAAAGCAGCGTATGAACAGCAAGTTTGCATTTACAATTTCACTTGTGAAAATTACGAAGTTTTGTATTTATGAATCTCTGCATTGGTTTTAAAGTAAAATTTGAAATGCTCAGGGATCGTAGTTGTAAAGAATATAAAGAATTTTATGCATAAAAGACAAATTTGATAAATTTTAGTATTATAAACAGTAAGAATGTTAAGTTTGATGAATAAATTAGCAGATGATGTTAGTGGCATGGAATTAATTGCAATTCAAACTAATTTTTTTTACCTTGCAAGATAAAAGATGGCTAAATTTAAAGCCCTGTTTTGATTTTTTTAGACTCTGATAATCTACAGACTTTTAGAACAAATCGTCAAAAACATGGAAGATCACTCAGACCCATACAAAGACTGTCTAGATGAAGTGTCCTGCACAAAAACACAACCTCAGTCAGCCGTTGTATTGGTTGGAGCTGGGATCAAACCTCCAATCTGTTCTTTCTGTTCTAAGAAAACTTCTGTACAACCCGAGAAAGTATTTGCTCTTGTTTCTTCGTCGTCTGTTAACATCTTTGTGCACTTTCTCTTATGAGCTCACCGTCTGAATATTACTGGAGATGTCTTCACGTCCTCTGGGCCTCCTGCCTGCTCCTGTCTGCACCTGCCTGGTTCTGTGTTGTGTTTTCTTGACCGTGTAACCTGCACCTTAACAAATGACCAATTCTCTCTGCACCTTCAGTCTCACGTTGAGTCTGGTCCTGGAATATTTCATACAATAATGTTTGGTTGAACCTGCGCGCAAACCGTTCAAATAATTCCAGTATAGTGTTTCATATTTGGACTACGAACTTTGTTTTTAATGATTATTCAATTGTGTTACTGTAAATATTGAAACTTGACGGCGCTCTACCTGAATTTTTCGTAAAAACACGGAAAACAGAACTCATTTGCAGTGGTCCAAAGTTGTTCTTCACTTACTTTATGCATCTATTTTCAGAGTTTTGGTGTCACAAGAAAGCCAACCTCAACTAGCATGCTAACAGCGCACTTCCAGATGATCCAGTTTTATGAATTTCTGTTGAGATATAGTGTTAAAAACTCCCTCACCTCTCACGGATGAACTCCAGCTGTCTCTGTTGAGTAGTTTTCCTGAAAAAACAACACAGACTTTAGATGAAATACATTTGACATGATACGATAAATATTTATAAACACTGCGGTTTCCAAAGTACTACACATTGAAGTACTGCACATGCTGTAGTTGTTATAAGCAGGATTTAAATGCTCTGTATCTGATTTGTACGGTCTTGAAACTTTAAAATGGTTTGCAGTAGAGATGGGACAAGATCTCGTGACACAAGATCTCACGAGACAAAATTTCCACGAGATTGCGAACATCTCGTGAGATTTTTTCTCCTAAATTTACCTTTGGCTTGGACAGAAAAAGAGTTTTAAGAAGGTGTAGTTTCAAAAAGCAGTACACAAGCACCACTAAAGGATTACATAAGATAAATAAAAGTAGTGAAGCCAAAATTGTGAAATGGACTGCACTAGGTTATTATTATTATTTATTACAAATTATTTCAAAATCCCGTCTTGTTTTGTTCTCCTGGCCCCAATCTTGTGATGTGTCTCGTCTCGTGAAAATTGTGTCTCGTCCCATCCCTAGTTAGTGGTCCAACTTTATTCCTCATTTTCCTTACTTCTTCATTACTCACCGTGATGAGTTTATAAGCAGTTTTCACAACTTAGGCTACGTTCAGACTGCAGGGCTTAATGCTCCATTCAGATTTTTTTGTGAAATCCAGTTTTTTGCGAGGTCGTTCACATTTCCAATTAAATGCGACTTGTATGTGATCTCCAGTGTCAACTTTAAATGCCCTTAAAGTGTCACTGGAGGACATGACCTGAAGATTTTAAAGTTGCTGTCGAGCCAGAACATGTACATCTTATTTGTTTTAGGGAGGAGATTGAGAAGGACGAGGTCATGACAAATGTATTCAAATTTCAATATTAAAGGTTGTATGGAGGATTTTTTTTGTTTCAAGTTGTCAATGATAGATTATAGAGGTGCAGTAGCCTTGTAATTATGATGACCAAAAAAAAGAGAATAAAAATTCATCAACTCTGGACGTGGTGGGGCTAAACATTTGCCAATAGATAACGACACTGCCTCGTTATCTGTGAGCTGACAGGCTGTCAATCAAACTCCCTACGTTTCTAGTGTAACTGACTTGCCTGCGCGCCGCCGGTACGTGGTTTACGTACGACTGTCACGCAGTCCACAGACGCAAGCGCACAGACGCTGTTTACTCCACCAACGCAACAGTTCTTAGCGGCTTTTTTTGACCTATATCTTCCTCGCAGTTCGCACAAAGTTTGTTGCAATGGCGACAAGAATCCAGGAGCAGTTCGCCGCAAAAGAAAAGTCCGTTTTTGAGGTCGCTGAAAGAAGAAGACAAGGGGAAAAGCAGCGAAGCCAAACTAAGGTGATTCTTGAAGATTCATTCCAGCGATGGCGCAACTGAAGCAGACGCAAGGGTCTAAAGACTGACGCACTGGTCCACAAATTACTCCTGGACAGGAAACTTCTGCTTATTATGAAAACTTACTTTATTTCCAAGAGCGAGACAAACGTTTTTCAGGACACGAAAGCAATATCCTATGTCTGAAAACGTAATTTTCAAGGCAAAGAAAGAGTCCGCTTGCTGCTGCGTGTTGTAGCTAGTTCATTCGCACTGAATCTCCGCGCAACCTTCTCTGCACCCCTTTCCTGCTCCTGTCCCCGCTGCCCGATCCACTCTTCCCCCTGCTCCTCACTTCTCCGGGCACAGAATCTCCGCGCACCCCCTCCCCTCTCCTCTCTCCCTGCTCCCTGCTCCCTGCTCCCTGCTCCCTGCTCCGCTCTTCGTCCGCGAACGAAATGTCCCGCACACCCTCCCCCCGCTCCTCACTTCTCCGTCTTGCCTAACCAACACTGTAGTTAGTTGTTTACAAGTCATGTGCAGCACCGGCTGTAAACAAACCTGTTTCTGGCGTAAGAGAGGAGGGGAGGAGGCGTTTCTACGTAGGAGCTGTAGGGGAGGGGGGGGGGGGTGGTTCACGCATGTGCAACATTTGAAAAAGGACAAACAGTCGCTGGATTTCTCGTTCCTTGGAAAATCCTCTATACAACCTTTAATTAACTCGCTAACCTCGCTTTCCCTCCGTTGATAAGACTCCGAGCCTTCAGAGCTGGAAAATTCTCTTGCATTGTTATCATGGTTGTGGCTTTCCTTCAGTTTCCGCAAACTTCAGGGTAGAATAGTGATGTTTGTTGCTTGTTGATGACCCATATTTTGGATGAACGTGACCTGTCCGTTCAGACTGAAGTCACATGTCAAAAGATCAGATATGTATCGGTTTTAGGAGCACGTATCCAAGTGTCCTGGGTCATTAAAAGATCAGATACAGGTCACATAGGGGTAAAAAAATTGGATTTGGGTCACTTCAGGCTGCAGTCTGAACGCAGCCTCAATCTCTAGAGCAGTTTCTCTTTAAAGCTAACAGCTAACAACAAATAGCATGCTAACACACACTCTCTGGTTATTGGACATTAAAATCCTTCATGATCAAATGCAGACAACTCGCAGCGGACTTATACATCCTGACCGACGTAATTACTCACCGTGATGAGTTTATAAGCAATTTTCACAACTCGCAGAGACCAGAGCTGGGTTTTGCCGTCTCTGTAAAGCTAATAACTAAAAACAACTAGCATGCTAAAACACTCCCTGATTATCAACAATAAAATCCTTCACAATTAACTGCAGACAGCACACAGCGGACTTGTGCATTCTGACCGTCGTGATTATTAACCGTGATGAGTTTATAAGCAATTTTCAGTTTCGCCGTCTCTTTAAAGCTAACGGCTAACAGCAACTAGCATGCTAACACACACTCCCTGATTACTGGACATTAAAATCCTTCATGTTTAAATGCAGACAGCATGCAGCAGCCTTTTTTTGACCTCAAGAGCTGCTTTTACAATTTATCTGTACTGGGGCAAGAAAAAATACGCTCAAACATGTGGACAAAATCAGGTTGTGGTACTTTTAAGTCTTGAACAAGCGCTTGGTCATGACCTCTCCCCCGCCCTCTTTCTCAGTTCGTAAAAACAGAAATGATGTGTTTATAAGGTTGAGCTCTGTAGTTTTTATGCGTTAGAAACTGTCTCCAATCGTTACACTCAATCCAGACTCTCTTACGATGCGATAAAATCTGCTCTTTTCACGTCAACACATCAAAAAAACACGTGTACGTTTGATAACGTTTGAAAACAACAGCGAGTTAAGAGAACAGATTCGAAGTTCATTTCTGTCTCTAATTGGCCTCAAATACCAGAGCTCCAAATGAAACTGTTTTGACCTGGACTGGACTTTTAAGAGGTCAATAAAAATGGAGAACTAATGAGTATGAAAGAAAAGGAGTTGGATGTGGCTCCTGTGGAATTAATGTGGCCGTAAAAGACATATAGACTGAAAGATGAATTGTTTCTTTTAGGAATTGTACCTGGAAAACAATATAACGTGTTTATAGAGGTTTGTTTTCATGAGGCGGAAACATAATGAGGAATTAAATCTAAATGTAAAGCAAAGACGTAAATATACAAGATTTTTACCTGCTGAAATCACTGTGAAAGGTGCATTGCGTAAACTTTCTGGTGCAGGGTCCGTCAAATGCTTTTCTCCATGGAGATGTTATTGCTATGTCTGGAATGTTTCACAGTATGGCATTAAACCAAACAGGTGATGGACCCCCAGCCAAAAAAAATTACACGAAGTACCTTTAAGAAATGAAAAACTACAGTATATTCCGTGCACTGGTGTTGTAGTCAAGATCTCACTAATTGAGACCAAGACCCGTCCAAGATCACAGGGTCCCGAGACCAGGACCAGACTATTACTCTACTACTACTCTGAGGGTCAAGACCAAGATTTTTAAAGGCCGAGACCGAGGCAAGACAAAGACCACGGCCCATCGAGACCAAATCGAGACCAAATCGAGACCATCTTGGTCCTTTTCCACTTTTATTTGTATTTTACAGTTATTTTGGTGCATTCATGTCAATGTTTTATAAATTTGTCTCCATTTTATCAGTCGTCAAGTGTCAGACCTCGAGACCGAGACCAAGACCGATCCAAGCACCGAATCGAAGACCGAGAACAAGACCGAGTCCAAGAGCCTTCGAGACGAGACAAGACCGAGTTCAAGCACCTTCAAGACCGAGACAGACCGAGTCCAAGCCTCGTAGACAAGAGACAAGACCGAGTCCAAGATCCAGACAAGACTGAGACAGACAGACCGAGTCCAAGCGCCGGAGACTGAGACCGAGTCCAAAGACTGAGACAAGACCGAGTCCAAGCACTTCAGACCAGACAGAGACCGAACAAGACCGAGTCCAAAGCACCTTCAAGACCGAGACAAGACCGAGTCCAAGCGCCTTCAGACTGAAGATAAGATCGAGTTCCAAGCATTCTTCAAGACTGAAGACCGAGTCAAGCACCTTCAAGAGAACCAAGAAGACAAGACCCGAAGTCAAGACCGAGACAAGATTCAAGACCTTCAAGACCGAAGACAAGACCAAGACAGTCCAAGCACCTTCAAGACCGAGACAAGACCGCGCCTCAAGAGAGACAAGACCAAGACTTAATCAAAAGTGCACCTTCAAGACCGAGAAAGACCGAGTTCGACCGACAAGCCCGTCAAGAACCGAGACAAGACCGTGTCCAAGCGCCTTCAAGACCGAGATGAGACCAAGTCTAAGCCCCTTCGAGACCGAGACAAGAATGAGTCCAAGCACCTTCAAGACCGAAACAAGACCGAGTCCAAGCACCTTCAAGACCGAGACAAGACCGAGTCCAAGCTTCTTCAAGACTGAGACAAGACCAAGTCCATGTGCCTTCGAGACCGAGACAAGACAGAGTCCAAGCACCTTCAAGACGAGACAAGACTGTGTCCAAGCGCCTTCAAAACCGAGACAAGACCGAGTCCAAGCGCCTTCAAGACTGAGACAAGACCAAGTCCATGTGCCTTCGAGACCGAGACAAGACCCAGTCCAAAAAAAACAAAACAAAAAAACTTGTGTGTGTCTATCTGCAGATTGAGGCTCTGGAAACACAGGTTCAGTTGTGATTGTAGAACATTTTTAAAGCAAAGACTGGAGGATATTTACAGTTCCTTTAAAGATGCACTGTGTAACTTTTTGGTTGTTGGTCTGTCACCTTCTTGTTTCTATAAATATGTCATTGTCCTGCCTGGAATGTTCCACAGTATGACATTAAACATTTCTACTTTACATTTATTCAATTACAGGTGGTTTTTATAGCTCAAAAAAAAACCTAGATAAACAAACATTCTGACTGTGAGCGGGGTCGCCTCTCCACAAATCTGACCTGTAACTTGGTCTGGTTTAGTCTCCATGAAGATAGAAAGGTTTAATGCCACACTGTGAAACATTCCAGACAAAGCAATAACATCTCCATGGAAAAAAAAAAAAAAAAAAAGCATTTGACAGATCTTAGACCAGAAAAGTTACACAATGAGCCTTATGTTTACGTTACAGAAATCACATACGTTGTCATCTTATAATGTATTTCTTTATTTTTCTTTTTACCGTGTGGTTTTCACAGTGGTGAGGCTGCGTGCTGTTATCTGCCTGATCCGTCTCTTCTTCTGATCCTCGTTCTTCTTCGTCTTCACTGTTTAGACTCACGGCTTCATCTTCTGCGTTTGACCCCAACTCCTCCTCTTCCTCCTCAGGCCACGCCCCATCCTCTGACTCAGCGCCGCACCCCTTTCTCGATTCTGTTAAAAGAAACACAGAAAGATGAAAATAAAATGTATACAAGTTTGTCTTATTTAGAAGAGTGGGGTGGGATTAAATAACTCTTCTTCTTCCCACTTCTTATTTGGGCAAATTTCTTGCTATGATTGAATGTCACATGGATAATACTCTTCCACTGTAAAAGAATGTCAGTTGCTTACTTGTCCAAAACTAAATAGCGTATTCTTCAGACTATATATCGCACTTTTTTTCATGCTTTGGGTGGTCCTGAGACTTATACTCCGGTGCGACTTATATATTAAAATGTATGCTCTATCTTGTGTGTCAGTATCTGTTGCTCCTGTTCCTCCTGTACCACTGTCACTTGGCTCTACTGCGCATGTCTCCTGCAGAAAGAGCCTCTGTCCTGTCTGTATCATGTCAGTCGATCGCACCATTACTTCTGCATCACTGAACAATTTAACATTTAAACAAACTTATAAAGACGACTGAGAAAACTGAACACAAATGCCCCCAAAAACAAAATCATATTTGGCAGATTATAAGATGAAAGTAGTGAAATCTGCAACCGAAAACAGTAATTGAGCAGCAGAAAGAAACTTTGGAGTGAGCGAGAAACTTGTGACACCAGAAGGATGCACCATGAAACTTTCCTGAAGTCACTGGATGGATCGACAAAGCCTGAACTTCAGTGACACCGAAACCATCCTGTCAGGATTCAGAAAATAGTTCTAATAATTCTAACTGGAACTGATGCTGAGTCTGACGACAGCGACACAGAAGAGGAAGCGGCGCTCTGTTTACCTCTGGAGGTCGCGGAGTTACTCAGAAGTGACACAGAGGATGAAGAATTGAATGGATTTAGTGATTTGGAGTGAGATGGAGAGTTTGGTAAACTTGTTCTGTTGTTTATGTTATAGTTTATCTGAAGAACTGTTCATATGTGACGTTAACAGTCTGTTGTTCTCTGTTCTAGTGTTATACTAGAACTTGACTTTCAAGATGAAATGTCAGGTCCTGGTCTCTCATTTTATAAAATAAATTTATAGTCCGGTTCGACTTATATCTGTATTTTTCTCCTTCATCACACATTTTTTGGCTGATGCAAATTATACTCCGGGGCGTCTTGCAGTCCGAAAAATACGGTACATAAAAACAATAAAATACAATTTAAATAAATCTCAGTTTATGGACAGGCCTCATGTGAAAGCCAGGAAACTCCAGAATTCCCTCCTTGATGGGCTGAAGGTGCTGGGGTTTAGGTAAAGACCATTCAGATCAAAGAGAGGTATTTTAGTTTTAAACAGCCCTCACCTGTTCCTGTGTTGTGCTCCTCCAGCGTCTCCAGTCGCCCCAGCAGAGCCTCGATGTTGGCCTTGATCTGGGTCAGTTCTGTCTTTATGGCCTGGAGCTCACTGCCTCTCACCACTGCGACAAAAGAGACGGACATTACGACGCTGCGGGGTTTATATGGTCATTTACTCTGTTATAACTCGAGACACCGCACTTTTTGTCTTATCTGAGTAGTTTTTGAGTTAGTTTTTCTCACAGTTAGTACGTTTACACATGACAAAAGGTTCATACTGACAATATTTTAAAATTACTCTTCAAACTCCTCTGTATTTCTGTATTCAGTGGTTTAATGGTCTCCATCAGCGTTCACATGTGTCTTCAGTCTGAGGAGGAGGTGACAGGTTGAGAGGGAAAACAGGCGCTTGGTCACATGACTCCGATCTGCGCTCTGATTGGATAACGGCCTCCAGATGTTTTTGGTAACAATACACCAGGATTATAGTGGAGTAAAAGGAACAAATTATAATAAATATGTCAAGTTAAACATATAGTTCCACTTAGGTTTCAATGTTTTTGTTTTATTTTATGATTGCATATATAAAAACTGAGAGTTTGGATCAGAATACCTTTTCAGAAACACGTAGAAGTGATTCATGTTGAAAAATGAAATGCCCCGCTCAGTTCAAACGGTGCTGTGTGTGAACTGAACTGAACTTGAGTATTTTATTATTACAGTTTCCAGTTTTGAATTCAGCTCAGGTCAGAGTGACACAGAACTTTCAGATGAGTGTCTATATACTTAGACTCGACTAGAACATCTCGCTCATCTGAAAATTCTGATCTGACCATTCCCTTTAAAGGGACAGTCCGGAATTTTGGACATAGGACCTCATTTCTTAGTGGGCCAAAGTGTAAGGCTAAGGATGTTTTTGCGAGGTCGTTCACATTTCCAATTAAATGTTACTTGTATGTGACTCCAGTGTGAACATTAAACGGCCCGAAAGTGTCCCGCATGTGCACTGGAGACACGATGACGTCAATCGCAGCGAGCGTTCTCTGTGTTTATGGAAGTTGTCCAAACATGGACGCAGCATTGAGCACCTGGAGATTTTAAAGTTCCTCTCGTACCGGAGCCAGAACATGAACAACTTACTTGTTTTAAAGAGTAGATTGAGAGGAGAAGGACAAGGTTTTTTAGCCGTGCTTTTTGTGGGACAGCGCAGTGACGTCCACTGAAAGGAACGTGTGGATGTGGAGACGTAGCCAAGAGTGGTGAGTGGTGACGATGATGAGTGGAGTTCATTGACAATTTTCACCTACTTCAGTGCAGAATAGTGACATTTGTGGCTTGTTGATAACGTGTAGGTCGGATGAATGCGTCTTGGCCATTCAGACTGAAGTCGCATGTCAAAAGATCAGATATGTATCGGTTTCAGGACCACATATCCAAGTGTCCTGGGTCACATTTGAAAAAATCGGATCTGTATCTTTCACACTGTCATTAAAAGATCAGATACAGGTCACATAGGGGCCAAAAATCGGATTTGGGTCACTTCAGGCTTCAGTCTGAACGCAGCCTTAGGCTACTGCAGTGACCCAGGACACTTGGATATGTGTCCTGAAACCGATACATATCTGATCTTTTGACATGCGACTTCAGTCTGAACGGCCAAAGCGCATTCATCCACCTACACGTTATCAACAAGCCACAAACGTCACTATTCTGCGCTGAAGTAGGCGAAAATTGTTAATAAACTCCGTGTCACTGAAGCGAAGCACATCACCACTCACCACTCTTGGCTCCGTCTCCACATCCACACGTTCCTTTCAACGGACGTCGCTGTCGCTGTCCCACAAAACACCATGACCAAAAACCTCGTCCTTCTCCTTCTCAATCTCCTCCTTAAAACAAGTAAGTTGTTCATGTTCTGGTTCCGATACAAGAGCAACTTTAAAATCTCCAGGTGCTCGAGGCGCCTCCATGTTTGGACAACTTCCGTAAACACAGAGCAGCTCGCTGCGGTTGACGTCATCGTGTCTCCAGTGCTCATGCAGGACACTTTCGGGCCGTTTAATGTTTCACACTGGAGTCACATACAAGTCACATTTAATTGGAAATGTGAACAACCTCACAAAAACATCAGATTTCACAAAAAAATCTGAATTGAGCATTAAGCCCTGCAGTCTGAACGTAGCCTTAGCAAATTCTCTCGTAAAGTCTGATTCCATAGTTCCTTCTGTAGTGTAGTTGCTATAGTGTATTTATCGGCTTGGGTGGTTTGCGCAATAGGGGATGGTGCAATCTAGCAGCACCTTGCACTTTAAAACATCTAAATTCTCAGCATTAACACCATGTACCTAGCACTTTACATCAAAAAAAAAAAAAAAAAAGAAGAGCACCTTTTTAATGTGTACTTTTGTCCTATGTTTGAGCCCCCCCCCCCCCCCCCCGCTACATTTGTGTAATATAGGACTGAAGCTGCATTTCAAAGCATCACTGTGTTCTGTCAGTGATTTAGACTTTAGACTCCAAACTGCGTGTACTTTTGAGAAATGGTCCACGCCACGTCTTATAATCTTTGAAAACTGTCATTGTTTGACTGGGTTCAGAGGGAGACGAGGCTCACGCACGCACAGCTTGACGGCACATTAAACTGCGAAACGTCTGCAAAGAATTTTAAATGAGTTGGTATGAATTCATTAGAATGAGACCTCTGACCCAAAATGGAGCCCTCCTGTTGAAAATAATATCCTTCAGAAACGTGTGGAGATCCCATGTGCGTATCAAGCGTACAGACGTGTTCAGAAAGCAAAGATTCTCTAGAGTTAAAGAATCCGCTGTTTTCTGATCTGTTATAATGTTGTTTTCTCATCACAAACAGACCTGGAGTTGTGTTTTGTTTCATTCACACAAGTTTAACTCAAATCGTACATATCTTGGCTTGATTCTCAATCAGAAAACACTTTTTTTTCCAACTTGTGATGCCATGTGTTATCACAGGAAGTGCTCAACTGTGTTTTTAAACTTCATACACGTTCATTAAAATCATTTAGATAATTTCAGCCCTAGAATTGGCAATCTACTGAAATAGGTAAAAGAAGCTATGGACTTGAAAAACCATCACTTAATGTCTTAATGGAGTCAATTTTGCGTAATCTCGGACCTTTAAATATTTGCACATCCATAACCCTGGGAGCGTCGGCAGTGATCAGTCGCTGTATTGGACCGTTGTGGTGAAGAGGAGCTGAGCTGAAAGGCAAAGCTTAGGCAAAGATTTACCGCTCAGTCTTCGTTCCTCCCCTCACCTGTGGTCATGAGCTCTGGGTAATGACTGAAAGGACGAGATCACGGATACAAGCGACCGAAATGCGGAGTTTCCTCCGCAGGGTGTCTGGGTGCTCCCTTAGAGATAGAGTGAGGAGCTCAGTCACACGAAAGGAGCTCGGAGTAGAGCCGCTGCTCCTCCACGTCAAGAGGAGCAGCTGAGGTGGCTCAGTCTGTTCCGGATGCCTCCTGGACGACTCCCTCAGGAGGTGTTCTGGGCATGTCCCACCGGGAGGAGGCCTTGGATTTGATGTCATGTCCGAGCTTGAAGCGTATTATTATGTTCCACGTTTCGGACTACACGGATTATTTCCTCATCTTATAAAAATGCTGCTATTTTAATTCATAAAATTTTTAAACATTTGATTTTATGATCTCCTTTTACAAAGGACGTTAACGCATTAATCAAGTATTTATTCAAAACTGGCCTCACCACAACACGACTACCAAACCCACAGGCAGTGATACGACACGGTTATGTATTACAGTGATACTGACGTGGTGATGTATGTATGTATTACAGTGATACTGACGTCGGTGATGTATGTATGTATTACAGTGATACTGACGTGGTGATGTATTGTATGGTATAGTATACTTGACGGCGGTAAAGTATGATTATTCAGTATTATGTGTATGTATACTGTACTGTATAATGTAGTGATACTGACGTGGTGATGTATTACAGTGAATATACAGTGATACTGACGTCAATACGCAGTGATACAAGAAAAACACTGTCATTTAAACCACCAAAGTTCCAAACACAACGAAAAACACTCATATTTACACGTCATCTTGGTGCTGCTTAACCCACTACACCACAGGACATGATGGGGGACAGATGGACAGATGTTGCACCTTTGACTCTGCTGTGCGGGTGGACAGATGTGTGTGGACGATGTGTGACAGATGTTGGGGACAATTGTGTGTGAGGACAGATGTGTGCGGGTGGACAGATGTGTGTGGGACAGATGTGTGTGGGACAGATGTGTGTGGAGGACAGATGTGTGTGGGACAGATGTGTGTGGGTGTGACAGATGTGTGGGGACACAGATGTGTGTGGGTGTGGGACATGTGTACAGATGTGTGTTGTGTGGGGACAGATGTGGAGGACAGATGTGTGGGACAGATGTGTGTGGGGGACAGATGTGTGTGGGACAGATGTTGTGGACAGGATGTGTGTGGACAGATGTGTGTGGAGACAGATGTGTGTGTGTTGGGAAGATGTGTGTGGACAGATGTTGTGACAGATGTGTGTGGGACAGATGTGTGTGGAGGACAGATGTGTGTGGGACAGATGTGTGTGGGACAGATGTGTGTGGACAATGTGTGACAGATGTGTGTGTGTGGGACAGATGTGTGGACATGTGTGTGGGGACAGATGTTGGACAGATGGTGTGTGAGGACAATGTTTGGGACAGATGTTTGTACAGGTGTGGGACAGTGTGTGTGGTGGACAGATGTGTGTGGGACAGATGTTGTGGAACAGATTGTGGACAGATGGGACAGATGTTTTGGACAATGTTGGACAGATGTTTGGAGACAGATGTTTTGAGGACAATGTTTGAGGACAGATGTTGTAGGACAGATGTTTGTGACAGATGTTTTGAGGACAGATGTTTGGAGAACAGATGTTTGGAGACAGATGTTTTTTTTGAGGACAGATGTTTGAGGACAGATGTTTGAGGACAGATGTTTGACAGACAGATGTTTAGGACAGATGAGGACAGATGTTTGGAGATGTTTTGAGGACAGATGTTTGAGACAGAGAGGACAGATGTTGAGACAGATTTTGGGACAGATGTTTGAGGACAGATTTGAGGACAGATGTTTTGAGGACAGACGTTTGAGACAGATGTTTGGAGGACAGATGTTTGGAGGACAGATGTTTGGAGGACAGACAGATGTTTGGAGGACAGATGTTGGAGGACAGATTTGTACCTTTCAGTCGGCTGTGCGGGTACAGATGTTTGGACAGATGTTTGGAGGACAGATGTGTGTGGGACAGATGTTTTGAGGACAGATGTTTGGAGGACAGATGTTTACCTTTCAGTCGGCTGTGCGGTTGGACAGATGTGTTGGACAGATGTTTGGAGGACAGATGTAATTTGGACAGATGTTTTTGAGACAGATGTTTGGAGGACAGATGTTGTACCTTTCAGTCGGCTGTGCGGGTGGACAGATGTTTGGTGTGGACAGATGTTTTTGAGGACAGATGTTTGGAGGACAGATGTTTGTAGGACAGATGTTTGTACTTTTGTGTCGTGACAGATGTTTGGAGGACAGATGTTTTGGGAGATGTTTGACAGATGTTTGGAGGACAGATGTTTGGTGGAGGACAGATGTTTGGAGGACAGATGTTTTGAGGACAGATGTGTGACAGATGTTTGGTCACAGATGTTTGGACAGATGTGGACAGATGTTGGATGTTTTGGAGGACAGATGTTTGTTGTAGACAGATGTTTGGAGGACAGATGTTGAGGACCTTTCAGGGCTGTGCGGGTGGACAGATGTTTGGAGACAGATGTTTGGAGGACAGATGTTTGGAGGACAGATGTTGTGAGACAGATGTTTGGAGACAGATGTTTGACAGATGTTTGGAGGACAGATGTTTGGAGGACAGATGTTTGGAGGACAGATGTTTGGAGGACAGATGTTTGGAGGACAGATGTTTGGAGGACAGATGTTTGGAGGACAGATGTTTGGTGGACAGATGTTTGAGACAGATGTTTGGAGGACAGATGTTTGGAGACAGATGTTGTACCTTTCAGTCGGCTGTGCGGGTGGACAGATGTTTGGACAGATGTTTGGAGGACAGATGTTTGGAGACAGATGTTTGGAGGACAGATGTTGTACCTTTCAGTCGGCTGTGCGGGTGGACAGATGTTTGGACAGATGTTTGACAGATGTTTGGACAGATGTTTGGAGGACAGATGTTGTACCTTTCAGTCGGCTGTGCGGGTGGACAGATGTTTGGAGGACAGATGTTTGAGGACAGATGTTTGGAGGACAGATGTTGTACCTTTCAGTCGGCTGTGCGGGTGGACAGATGTTTGGAGGACAGATGTTTTGAGGACAGATGTTTGGAGGACAGATGTTGTACCTTTCAGTCGGCTGTGCGGGTGGACAGATGTGGACAGATGTTTGGAGGACAGATGTTTGGAGGACAGATGTTTGGAGGACAGATGTTTGGAGGACAGATGTTGGACAGATGTTTGGAGGACAGATGTTTGGAGGACAGATGTTGTACCTTTCAGTCGGCTGTGCGGGTGGACAGATGTTTGGAGGACAGATGTTTGGAGGACAGATGTTTGGAGGACAGATGTTTGGAGGACAGATGTTGTACCTTTCAGTCGGCTGTGCGGGTGGACAGATGTTTGGAGGACAGATGTTTGGAGGACAGATGTTTGGAGGACAGATGTTTGCAGATGTTTGGAGGACAGATGTTTGGAGGACAGATGTTTGGAGGACAGATGTTTGGAGGACAGATGTTTGGAGGACAGATGTTTGGAGGACAGATGTTTGGAGGACAGATGTTTGGAGGACAGATGTTGTACCTTTCAGTCGGCTGTCGGTGGACAGATGTGTGGACAGATGTTTGGAGGACAGATGTTTGGAGGACAGATGTTGTACCTTTCAGTCGGCTGTGTGGGTGGACAGTGGAGCTCCTCAGTATTTTCATGGGGAGACCTTTGACCCGGTGGAGCAGGGGCAGGGCTCGGGGACGTTTGACCGGGACCACAGGCACCACCCGGGGAACGGGAGACACACGACTGCGGTACTCGAATAACCTACAGGCAGAGGGACCATGAACGCACCACGACACAACAGACACAGATAAATGTAAAATAAAATGAATAAAATAAGAGATTTGCATGAGGCTGATTCTGATTTTCTGATCGAATAATTCACCAAAACATCAAATTATAACGACGTGTCCATCATCTCTAATGTTTTTTGTAATAAATAATCAGTGTTGGGGAGTAACAGATTACATGTACCGGAGTTATGTAATCAGAGTACAAATTATGAGTAACTGTATTCAGTTACAGTTACTGTTTCAGTGAGTGGTAATTGGATTACAGTTACTTTGTTGAAATAAATGGATTACATGACGGTATTTTCTGGTTTTCACATTTTGGGCTAAACCAGGACTAAAGCAAGACTAAACCAGAACTAAACCAGGACTAAACCAGGACTTTAAAACCAGGACTAAACCAGGACTAAACCAGGTCTAAAAGAAGGACTAAACCAGGTCTAAAACCAGGACTAAAGCAGGACTAAACCAGAACTAAGACCAGGACTAAACCAGGACTAAACCAGGATTAAACCAGGTCTAAAAGAAGGACTAAAGCAGAACTAAACCAGGACTAAACCAGGTCTAAACCAGGTCTAAACCAGGACTAAACCAGGATTAAACCAGGTCTAAAAGAAGGACTAAACCAGGACTAAACCAGGTCTAAACCAGGACTAAACCAGGATTAAACCAGGTCTAAACCAGGACTAAACCAGGATTAAACCAGGTCTAAAAGAAGGACTAAACCAGGTCTAAAACCAGGACTAAAGCAGGACTAAACCAGGTCTAAAACCAGGATAAACCAAGTCTAAAAGAAGGACTAAACCAGGTCTAAAACCAGGACTAAAGCAGGACTAAACCAAGACTAAACCAGGACTAAACCAGGTCTAAAACCAGGATAAACCAAGTCTAAAAGAAGGACTAAACCAGGTCTAAAACCAGGACTAAAGCAGGACTAAACCAAGACTAAACCAGGACTAAACCAGGTCTACAACCAGGACTAAACCAGGACTAAACCAGGTCTAAACCAGGACTAAACCAGGTCTAAACCAGGTCTAAACCAGGACTAAACCAGGTCTAAACAATATGACACCTAACAGTAGAGTGAACATAATTGAAGGCAGCAGTGTCTCATATATAAATCATTTCTCTCTCAATAATATTTTTTATATGTTTAAATAAAGACTGGGCTTTTTATTTTCTTTTAACAGACAATTATGTTATGATTTCCTGGTCTTTGCTTCTCTACACCAAACAGTTGCTTATTCATGGAGACTTGGGCTCAACAGAGAATTTGAAGAGAACAAGAATTTTCAGGACGTGGTTGTTACATTCATGTAGTTTTAAAAAGCACAACAATATCAAGTAATTCAAAGTATTCAGATTACGTTACTCACTTTAAGTAATTTAATGGATTACATTACAAACAACATTTTGGGGTATGTAATCTGTAATCTGTAAGAGAATACATTTTAAAAGTCACCTTCCCAACACTGTAAATAATAAATCAGCATTGTAGTTATTATCAGTTAAAGTTGTATTTGATTCCAAGGGACACAGATATTGTAGCTCATGTTTGTAACTCAAAAAACAAATCTTACGCTTCCTTCCACTTACAGTCTCCTTTTGCTTTTGAATAAAACCTGTACGAGGCTTTTCAGGAGTCCACAGAGCGTCCGAGTGGAGATTATGGAGATGTACTGCTCCTGTCAGAACGGGATCAGGACAAACCCACCGACACAAAACTCCAAATCCTCTTCTCTGAAAAATGACGTTTGATACTTCCCATTGCTCCAAGAGTCAGGTGCAGTTTGAAACAACGTCATAAACTATTCCGATATTAAAGGTTGTATAGAGGATTTTCCAAGGAACGAGAAATCCAGCGACTGTTTGTCCTTTTTCAAATGTTGCGCATGCGTGAAACCACCCCCCCTCCCCTACAGCTCCTACGTAGAAACACCTCCTCCCTCCTCCTCTTTACGCCAGAAACAGGTTTGTTTACAGCCGGTGCTGCACATGACTTGTAAACAACTAACTACAGTGTTGGTTAGGCAAGACGGAGAAGTGAGGAGCGGGAGAGAGAGGAGAGGGGAGCGGCGCGGAGATTCCGTGCCCGGAGAAGTGAGGAGCAGGGGAAGAGCGGATCGGGCAGCGGGGAGACAGGAGCAGGAAAGGGGAGCAGAGAAGGTTGCGCGGAGATTCAGTGCGAATGAACTAACTACAACACGCAGCAGCAAGCGGACTCTTTCTTTGCCTTGAAAATTACGTTTTCAGACATAGGATATCGCTTTCGTGTCCTGAAAAACGTTTGTCTAGCTCTTGGAAATAAAGTACGTTTTCATAATAAGCAGAAGTTTCCTGTCCAGGAGTAATTTGTGGACCAGTGCGTCAGTCTTTAGACCCTGCGTCTGCTTCAGTCGCGCCATCGCTGGAATGAATCTATCAAGAATCACCTTAGTTTGGCTTCGCTGCTTTTCCCCTTGTCTTCTTCTTTCAGCGACCTCAAAAACGGACTTTCTTTTGCGGCGAACTGCTCCTGGATTCTTGTCGCCATTGCAACAAACTTTGTGCGAACTGCGAGGAAGATATAGGTCAAAAAAAAAGCCGCTAAGAACTGTTGCGTTGGTGGAGTAAACAGCGTCTGTGCGTCTTGCGTCTGTGGACTGCGTGACAGTCGTACGTAAACCACGTACCGGCGGCGCAGGCAAGTCAGTTACACTAGAAACGTAGGGAGATTGATTGACAGCCTGTCAGCTCACAGATAACGAGGCAGTGTCGTTATCTATTGGCAAATGTTTAGCCCCACCACGTCCAGAGTTGATGAATTTTTATTCTCTTTTTTTTGGTCATCATAATTACAAGGCTACTGCACCTCTATAATCTATCATTGACAACTTGAAACAAAAAAAAATCCTCCATACAACCTTTAATGTAGTGCTATGAAAGAATTCTTTTTAGACATTTTTTTGAGGACATTATTAATATCTGCCAGTCTCGATCTGGTCCGCATTTGTATTCGCAGGACGTCTCCATGTTGAGTGTCACGTTCAGTTGTTAAAATGGACCTGTAGGTTTATAGTTTTACTTTCTCCTTTTGTGGTTTGAAAATCTGGTGTCGCAGATTAAAGCGCATAGGCCCAGTGTTTTCTTTTCTACGGTGATATGGGAGGAGATCACGCCTATGCACACAGTACTTAATCATATAAAATTTATGATATTTGCAAAGCGAAAAGTACAAAATCATGTACAAATTATGCTCAATAATACACCACTAGAAAGAGTCTTTCAAAATATTTTTTTAGGAATAACCATAGATCATAATTTAAACTGGAAATCACACATAAATACAATTAGGAACAAACTATCCAAAGTGATCGCAATTATATATAAATATAGATATACCCTAGATAAAAACAGTCTTTTTATTATATATAACTCGCTGGTAATGCCCGACATAACCTACGGTATTGAGATTTGGGGCAATACATATAAGACGAATACAAAGCCAATCTTTACCCTACAAAAAAAGGCAATAAGAGCATCACATTATCAACTTATAACGAACCAACCAATGTGTTATTTATAAACCTTCAAACGCTGAAATTTTATGATTTAGTCGACCTTTACACTCTTAAAAATCATGTTCAAAGTAAACAACAATCTCCTGTCGAAATCGTTACAGAACATGTTCAAAATCCGAAAGAGCCGATATGAGCTCAGAGGCACGACCGTGTTTATTAAAAAGAAAATCAGAACAAACATTATGAAATTTTGTAAATCTGTTAAAGGGGTGGAGCTCTGGAACAACTGTACAGAAAACCTCAAATTGTGCACCACTTTCTTTCACTTCATAAAGAAGTTTAAATGTTTAACTCTGGACAGATACATGAAATATGAGACTTAGTTTGTGCTGTAGAACTTTGTTGTTCTGTTACTGATTAGTTTGTTTCTTCCTGCTGTATTTTTGAAGATGAACTGGTGTCAAGATGAAGCTCTGACAAAGGAATAAAGGGTAAAGGCAGAATAAGCTTAAGCTTCAGCCTGCACCTTTTCGGTCTGTATATGTTAAATATGACTGTTTATGAATTAAAGTCAAAATATACCTGTGACCGAAATAAATAAATAAATAAATTAAATATGAGGATAGATTTGAAAGTTCTTTTATTGGTTTATAAAGGTCTTAGTCCTATTTATTTATCTGATCTGCTTTATCATATGAGCCTCTCGGACTCTCAGGTCCTCAGGAAGTCAGTCGTCTTTAAACTGTCCCAAGAGTCCAAACCAAAACCCACGGTGAGGCGTCATTCAGCTTTTACGACCCCCGTTTGTGGAACAGTCGACCTGAGCATCTGACGTCCGCTGCGAGTGTTCATATTTTTTTTAAAGTAAACTCAAAACATATCTTTTTTAATTTAGCTTTTAATTGAAACTTTTACCTGTTTTAACTTCATCTCAAATGTATGAAAAGTGCTATAGAAATAAAGTTTGATTGATTGATTGATATGGTGACGTCGTATGGTGATGTCAGTGTTGAACCTGTGTGTGTTTTAACTTCTTAGGTTCTTTTTAAAGACAATGCAGTGAAGTGTATTTACCTTGTTGACATGTTTCGGCTGCTGGTTTGTTGGCTTCATTGACAGCCACAATAAGACCACAGGAACATAGTCACACTACCAAACATCAGAGGCATAACCGAACCCATCCAGAGACCCATGAACACAACATAAGCACTGAAGTAAAACCAGACACAAAACTCCGCCAACAGCTCGTACACCCCAAGGACAAAACCCCACAAGAACAAAAATGCAACACCATCTACGAAATCCAATGCAAATCATGCAGTAAATCAGGGGTGTCAAACTCATTTTGGTCCGGGGGCCGAATCCAACCTACTTTGATCCCAAAGGGGCCGGATCAGAAAACTCATGTCATATAAACCCCAAAAACAGCAATAAGTTCAAATATTTGTGCAGAGAAACACAAATCTATTACAGAAATCTGTTTTAACTGATGAACTGTTTCTTTTACAAAATATTATAATATTATGTAGAAACCTGAAACTTTAAGATAAATGCAATTTCAACACAATGTTTTAACATGAACTTGTATGTAAATAGGAATAAGTTCATTTTTGTTGTAAAATCCTGCACTCGGCTCCACTTTTCTCATGTTGGACATTTTTCTGATGAGGGTGTCACGGTCAACAGTCAAAACGATCGTCCTTTAAGAGCGTTTGGAAAGAGACAAGTCTTCATTTGTGCTGCTCTGGTGGGAGGGGCCACGTACAGAGACACTGGAGACGCTGCTGTGATAAACACCGCAGAAAATTAACCAATATTTTAATAGAAAATATAATTAAAATATTTTAGTAGAAAATCAGCCGAGGGCCAGATTAAAGGTCTTAGGAGGGCTGGATCTGGCCCCCGGGCCTTATTTTGACACCTGTGCAATAAATCATACGTAGGGGAAACAGGCCGGGCATTTCACATCCGAAAAAAGGAACACCAAAAGGAAACATCAGGGAGACTCACCAGAACACAAAAAGATAAAGCAGAACAGGAAAACCTAAAATCCACCATATCAGACAGTGTAAAAAGAACAACCACATTATGGATCTGGACGGGGCTCGGGTCATTGGATCAGAAAACAACAAGTTCAAACGCTGGATCAAGGAGGTCATTGAAATCAGGAAACGAGGCACGGACAGCATTAACCGTGATGACGGAGCGTTCCTCCTTTCACACACCTGGGACACCCTCCTCCAGAGACTCTCCACCGGGCGACGGGAGGCGTGGTCAGTCTGAGCCACCTGCAGGTCCATCAGGTCTGACCACGCCCACAGGAAGTAACAACAGCTGATATACGACACGTCACCACCAACACCGAGGACACTTCTGAAGATGTAGCAGCCGAAACATGTCAACAAGGTAAACACACTTTACTGCATGTCTTTAAAAAGAACCTAAGACGTTAAAGTACATAAGAAGACAAAATGAACATCATTGGCTGTGTGTGTTTTAGTTTTATTTATTTTATTTCTTCATTTATTTTAGTTATACCACACGAGTTACAGTGGTGATACTTTCAGATCACTTTCACTTCTGTCCCTCTGTGGCACCTGTGCACCCTGTGGTCTCCCATCCCAGGACTGCCCAGGTCCAGTCCCGTTCAGCTCCTGAGATCCGACCACATCGGACTTTGTGGTGTTCTGTGTGTGAACAGAAAAGTGATCTCACCTGTCGTAGAAGTCTTCCCTGTAGAAGTCGTAGTCCAGCTCATATCCACTGCACAAAAACAAACACAAACATAAACACACAAACACCACAGGCTTTATCAGATATTATTATTTTTTTTATCTCCCAGACCAAAAATCACAACAGTTGCTTTCATATTTTAGAGAAGAAAGTTCTGATGAAACATGAACCAACCTGTTACCAACTATTATTATTTTATTTCTTTTTATTTTTGACCAGTGGTGATTCTGTGGCTGGACAGGATACACATACAAAAATGTTATGAGATGTTTAAAATTGTAAAATTGTTGTTTTCTATCTCCTGGTTTATGCTCCCAGACATCACTTCATTTAGTGTCTGACTCCCTCTATTGGTGGCACAAACTGAATATTTGGTCTAGAAAATTTATAAGCCTTTTGGCCCAAAAACTGAAAAAAAAAAAAATAAAATAAAAAAAAAATAAAAAAATAAATAAATAATAATAATAATAATAATAATAATAATAATAATAATAATAATAATAATAATAATAATAATACTTTTAACTACTACACTAATTTGCTACTAATAAATAAATAAATAAATAAATAAATAAATAAATAAATAAGGCTTTTATCTTTTTAAACTATGGACACTTTTGCAGAAAAAAAAAAAAAAAAGAAAACATGTCCTTAAAGAGAGTGGGGCTTGTAACTAAGGAAAAAGTTATTTGTCTTCTTAATTTTGTTTTACCATCAAGAAAGTAATAATACTATAATAGAACATAAGACTAAATTAATTAATTTTATGGCCGACAGAATCTACATCGTGACATTTACCTGTAGAGAGACGCAGCGCTCCTCTTCAGTGCTTTGGCTCGACTCGGTCTGGGCTCTCCGGCCATGTTGATGTCTGAAAGAAAAAAACACACAAATAAAATAAAACTAACACAATATGTAGATTTAAAAAAAAGTTACGTGTTGTTGCTTTTTCTACATGTTCTTTTATTTAACCGTTTTGATCTTTTGGTTATAAAAAAAATAAAAATAAAAATCCCAAAAAGTTCATCATGCTGCACAGAAACATTCAATCCAGCTCCACTATCAGTGCACTTCCGTTTTCTTACCACTAGAGGGCACTGCTGCAACATGTTTACAGGGCATTTCAACTGGAGCACTTCTGACGTGGCCTTGTTCAGTCGAGTTTATGGCCAAGAACCGTGAGAGATTATTTTACAAATCAGGTAATACTTGCATATACACACTGTGACGGCATGTTTCATAATCCACAGATAAAAACTGGAATGATTTCAGTAGATCTTTGTCAGGAATACCTCAAAATAGGATTATCATAAACGGTGCATGTTTTAGGTCGATACTGACACAGGGAGAACATACAAACTCCACACAGAACCTTTGACCTTCTGGCCGTGAGGCGTATGAGCTATCAACTTTTCCTTTAAAGTGCCTATTAGAGGTTAGACTACTAATTTTACTAATCATTTTGTTAAAACTATGACATTTTTTTTCCAAGTTTGGCAAGATCTTAGGTTTATAATTTAACTTCCCAAGTGAAATGATTCTGCGCTCTGTAAGTGTAACCTAGAAACTGAGCCAAAACTACAACATCCATTCATTTTCTTCTGCTTATCTGGGGCCGGGTCGCAGGGGGCAGCAGTCTAAGCAGGGACTCCCAGACTTCCTTCACCCCAGACACTTCCTCCAGCTCCTCTGAGGTGGACCCCGAGGTGTTCCCAGGCCAGTCCTGAGACATAGTCCCTCCAGCGTGTCCTGGGTCTTCCCCGGGGCCTCCTCCCAGTGGGACATGCCCGGAACACCTCCTGAGGGAGGCGCCCAGGAGGCATCTGGAACAGATGCCCGAGCCTCTGCTGCTCCTCTCGACGTGGAGGAGCAGCGGCTCTACTCCGAGCTCCTCCCGTGTGACTGAGCTCCTCACCCTATCTCTAAGGGAGCACCCAGACACCCTGCGGAGGAAACTCATTTTGACCACTTGTATCCGCGAAACTACAACATTGTACATAGACAGTGTTGGGGAGTAACAGATTACATGTACCGGAGTTACGTAATCAGAGTACAAATTATGATATAAAAGACACAGATAAATGTAAAATAAAATAATAAAATAAGAGACTTGCATGAGGCTGATTCTGATTTTCTGATCGTATAATTCACCAAAACATCAAATTATAACGACGTGTCCATCATCTCTAATGTTTTTTGTAATAAATAATCAGTGTTGGGGAGTAACAGATTACATGTACTGGAGTTATGTAATCAGAGTACAAATTATGAGTAACTGTATTCAGTTACAGTTACTGTTTCAGTGAGTGGTAATTGGGTTACAGTTACTTTGTTAAAATAAATGGATTACATGATGGTATTTTCCTGTTTTCACATTTTGGGCTAAACCAGAACTAAAACCAGGTCTAAACCAGGACTGAACCAGGACTAAACAATATGACATTTATCAGTACGTGGACATAATTGAAGGCAGCAGTGATCTCATATAAAAATCATTTCTCTATCAATAATATTTTCAATATGTTTAAATAAAGACTGAGCTTTTTATTTTCTTTTAGCAGACAAAACAAAACTTCTCATGTTCAAATTTCTCCGTCTTTGATTTTCTACAACAAACAAAAGTCTGTTCATGGAGACTTGGGCTCAACAGAGGATTTGAAGAAAACAAACGAGAATTTTCAGGATGTGGTTGTTACATTCATGTTGTTTCAAAAAGCATGACAATATCAAGTAATCCAAAGTATTCAGATTACTTTCCTCACTTTAATTAATTTAATGGATTCCGTTACAAACTACATTTTGAGGTATGTAATCTGTCATCTGTAGGGGAATACATTTTAAAAGTAACCTTCCCAACACTGTTCATAGAAATATTTTATAATTAATTTATAATTATTTGACAATTATTATTATTTTATTAAAGTATGAAACTAATTGTATGTTGTGCCTTTCATTCCGCACTTTTCTGTCTAATTTATGTCTCTCTTTTTAAATTTTAATCTTTATGATTATTTATGTTTTGATTTGTTTTTATTATGATTTTAATGCATTTCTTATTCTGTAAAGCACTTTGAATTACTTTGCGTACGAACTGTGCTGTACAAATAAACTTGCCTTGTGCCTGAGTTTTGTTTGGAATTTTGTGTCTCCTGAACTGATCAGGAGTCATAGATGTGTTTTAAAACTGCTCAGTGTAACTTTTTTGGTTGCTGCTTGTTTCTGTGGATATGTCATTGCTCTCTTCAGAAAAGTACAAAATCATGTACAAATTATGCTCAATAATCCACCACTAGAAAGAGTCTTTCAAAATAATTTTTTTGGAATAACCATAGATCATAATTTAAACTGGAAATCACACATAAATACAATTAGGAACAAACTATCCAAAGTGATCGCAATTATATATAAATATAGATATACCCTAGATAAAAACAGTCTTTTTATTATATATAACTCGCTGGTAATGCCCGACATAACCTACGGTATTGAGATTTGGGGCAATACATATAAGACGAATACAAAGTCAGTCTTTACCCTACAAAAAAAGGCAATAAAAGCAATCACATTATCAACTTATAACGAACCAACCAATGCATTATTTATAAACCTTCAAACGCTGAAATTTTATGATTTAGTCGACCTTTACACTCTTAAAATCATGTTCAAAGTAAACAACAATCTCCTGTCGAAATCGTTACAGAACATGTTCAAAATCCAAAAGAGCCGATACGAGCTCAGAGGCACGACCGTGTTTATTAAAAAGAAAATCAGAACAAACATTATGAAATTTTGTAAATCTGTTAAAGGGGTGGAGCTCTGGAACAACTGTACAGAAAACCTCAAATTGTGCACCACTTTCTTTCACTTCATAAAGAAGTTTAAATGTTTAACTCTGGACAGATACATGAAATATGAGACTTAGTTTGTGCTGTAGAACTTTGTTGTTCTGTTACTGATTAGTTTGTTTCTTCCTGCTGTATTTATGAAGATGAACTGGTGTCAAGATGAAGCTCTGACAAAGGAATAAAGGGTAAAGGCAGAATAAGCTTAAGCTTCAGCCTGCACCTTTTCGGTCTGTATATGTTAAATATGACTGTTTATGAATTAAAGTCAAAATATACCTGTGACCGAAATAAATAAATAAATAAAATAATAGTTAGAGGTGGGTTTATTGTTCAAAATTACCTAGAAAAACAGACATTCTGACCGAGCGGGGTCGCCTCTCCACAGATCTGACCTGTAACTTGGTCTGGTTTGGTCTCCATGATGATTGAAAGTTTTAAAGCCATACTGTGAAACATTCCAGCCAAAGCAAAAACATCTCCATGGGAAAAAAAAAAAAGCATTTGACGAACTCTCGACCAGAAAAAAAATGCACATTGCACCTTTAAAATTGAAACATATTTTCCAAAATTTGGTCTAAAACTATCATTTATATTTATAAGACGTATTCACTGACCAAATTAAGTAAAACAAAAATGTAAAAAACCCACTTTAAGCTTGATTAGTATTTATATTTGATCCTGAGTTGAGCGGGTTCATCAGTATTTAAACCGAACTACAGAGAGTTTTGTTTGGAGGGTTTTTTGAAGGACACTGTTGTATTGATCTGACAGAGGAGAGGCAGGTGCAGGGACAGGCAGGACGCCTCTCACCTCTGGGACTTAAGCACCGCCCTTTACTGACTTTGACCCGGTCACTGAACGCACCACGTCCAGGACAAAGACTTTTCAAAGTGGTAAAAGAGCGAGAAAGAGCGACGTACTTAAAGGTCCAGTCTTACACAAAACAGACTCTTGTGAGGTTTAAGTCCTGTTATGATGTTGTTATTTCCTCAAAAACAGACCTGGAGTTGTGTTTTGTTTATTCACACATGTTCAATGTTGGGGAGTAACAGATTACATGTACCAGAGTTATGTAATCAGAGTACAAATTATGAGTAACTGTATTCAGTTACAGTTACTGTTTCAGTGAGTGGTAATTGGATTACAGTTACTTTGTTGGAAATAAATGGATTACACAGAGGTATTTTCCTGTTTTCACATTTTGGGCTAAATCCCTTTTTTTTTTTTCAGTAATTCCACTCATTGCCAGAAACTAAACCAGGTCTAAACTAGTGTAGCGGGTGGTGCCACCGGGTGTCGCTGCTGGGCCACACCCAGGCGGAATTTAAGGGGAAGTTGGCCGTGTGCCCGGGAGGGTGTCAGTTTCCGTGGGTGGCCAGGTAGACCGCTGTGTGCGTGCGTTTGGCTGAAGATACAGGTGGGTTTTTAGATGGTTTGTGTGTGAGGGTAAATGAAACTGTGTTTTGAAAATTGATTGTTGTGTGTTAGGGCGGCCACGCTGTTTTTAAAAGAAACTTGAGCGGTGCTACGGGGAAGCTGTGTGTGGATGTACGACACAGGTAGCAGCATTTTAAATTGGTTTTAAATCATTAAAGTTTATCAAGTTGTCAGTTTTTTGTAATTTGGGTTTTTGTTTTTTGCAGTTGTTATTGTCCCTGCTGTCCTGTAGTTGTTTGTTTTTTCCGGTCACTTCCTTCTTTTCCCTTGAGCTTGTCCATTCATATTAAATAAATAACCTCAACTGCATCCCCGGCTCCGGACCTTTATTACCACGGCTGTAACACTAGATTTTAACCAGGTCTAAACCAGGTCTAAATCAGGACTAAAACCAGGACTAAATCCTGCTGCGTGGACCATGTCTCCTCCTCTTCTATCAATAATATTTTTAATACGGTTCAGTAAAGTCTGGGCTTTTCATTTTCTTTTAACAGATAAAACATCTTATGTTATGATTTCCTTGTCTTTGCTTCTCTACAGCAAATCAAGTAATCCAAAGTATTCAGATTACATTACTCACTTTAAGTAATTTAACGGATTACGTTACAAACTACATTTTGGGGTGTGTAATCTGTAATCTGTAGGGGAATACATTTTAAAAGTGAATTTCCCAACACTGCACATGTTCGAGTAACACATAATTATGAGTCTGTCTATATCTCCAAAGGTGAAAATGCTCTGTTCCACCTTGTGATGTCATGAAGTGGTAGTTTTCAAGTTAGCAGCTCCTTTTTTTTACTTTTTATTTAGTAAAGTTTGGACATTCCCAACAACTGTACAACAACTCACCCTGTGTCCTGTCAATCATCTTATCATTTTTCCTGTGACCTCTTGTGTACAGCTGAGATTTTACATTTTCTTACTTATTCATCTATTTTGTTTTTTGTTTTTTATTGATTTGGAGAGGGTGATTGGTGCTTTTATCTGTGCACGTCTTGACTCCTGCAATGCCCTGGACACTGGTATCAGCCAAGTGAACCTGTCGCTCTTGTGGTGCGTTCAGTCCTGTTCTAGTCCTGGTCCGGTCCTGGTGTAGTCCTGGTGGTTCGGGGATTGTGTGAACGCTCTAGATGCCTCTGTTTGGACGCCTTTGCATTTGAGTTCAGATGCCCCCGGCGCACATCTTGGACGCTGTGAATGAACGGGAGAAAAATACTTGACGAGCGTCCGTTGCCCTGGAAACAAATGCCCGGTCCCGGTCTTTTCCCGGAACGATGACAGACCAGGTTGAGAGAGACTTTATAGTGTTTTTGTTACATAAAACCATCAGCGGCTCGACAGCTGCAGCGTATATGTATGTATACTCTGCAAATGACACTGGTCCAGTCCTGGCGATCGGCTCGGCGACTGCGGCCTGTATATATTTATACTGCGCTAATGACACACTGACACTGGTTTAGTCCTGCTTTAGTCCTGGTTTAGTCATGGTCTAGTCCTGGTCTAGTCCTGGTCCGGTCCTGGTGGTTCGGGGATTGTGATGTACATATTTATACTCCGCTAATGTTTGTGGCTCTCGTTCAGGTTCTCAGGTCTTTCTCTTTCTTCTGGATAATAACGTTGCTACGTCTCTGGATATTTGTACACGATTGGTTGAGGCGACGTGTCTGAAGCGAAAGTTCAGCATTTTCAACTTCTGACACCGACGTCCTGGATGCGCGTCTAGAGCGTCGACGCCAGAAGGCTCAAGACATGTTTTTTGCGGCGCATCTTCGAGCATCAACGCCAGATTCACGCCGCGCTGATGCCCGAAGATGCGCCGCAAAAACACAGGACGCCCCAGATGTGCGTTCACATAGACTTTACATATAAACTGGATGTCTTCACGTCCCGGTCTGAACGGACCTTTACAGTGTGTCCAAAATTCTGCAGCATGTCTTTTAACCGGCACATATCGTAGAGAACACGTTAGACCTACTGTATCCTCATTGCACTGGCTCCCCGTTCATTTTAGAGTTGATTTTAAAATGTTATTGTTTTTAAAGCACTTCATAGACTGGCCCTGACCTCATCGTTCCTACACTCCTGAGGTCTGAGGGACAGCCCTGACCTGTCGTTCCAAAAACGTGACTCACCCAGCGTCTGTCCGGCCAGAACTCGCCCGTTCTCGCCCAGCACAGCGGCCCGGGCGTGGCGTTCGCTGGCATACTGGACGAACGCGTAGCCTTTGTGCACGGAGCAGCCCAGGACTCTGCCGTACTGAGAGAAGATGCCCTCCACGTCCGACTTGTTCACCAGCGCCGTGTTCAGGTTCCCGATGAAAACGCGGGAGTTTCGGGACTTGGGGTCGGTTTTGTTGGTGATGTTGCTGGTTTGGACTTTCAGAGACATCGTGTTTGACGATAGTTCAACTGCTGCACAGATCTGAAATACAAGAAACACATGGAGATAGTTTTAAAAAATATTACATTTCAATCACAACAAATTTTAGATTTGTGAATACTTTGTTAGAAATAATGAAACATCGTTGTTTTCTGGGACTGGAGGGTAAGGGGGAACTGTTTACCCAGGGCCCAGAGCAAAGAGAGGCCCCTGACCAAGTTTATAATGACAGTTTTTCATTGTACAACTCGTAGTGCGGCTCATCAAGATAATTTGTACCCAGGGTGCAGAATTTGGTGCTACACCCTTGGTTATTTTGGCGATATCCCCAATTAGAATATTTTTCCAGTTATTTATTGCGAATCAAGTCATGCAAGTCCAGTGAAGAGCTTGAAATGGTACAAAGGTAACTGAACTAGCCAGGCTGGCACCACCTAGTGCCTCTGCTCAATTTAATTTCTCTCCAGCCACTAGATCAGGAATCAATATACACTAGACGGTTTGCAAGAACCCTGGAAGTTGTAGACCGTGCACCAGCCAATCAGGGAAGATCTGTGAAGCCATGACGTCAAACTCAAGCATCTGTCTGGGTCCATTTTGTGATACAGCATGTCAGCTTCTCCTGGAGGCAGCCTGAACAGAGGATCTTAAGAAAGAGGCTTGGAGAGTTAGAACAGTTCTCAGACATGTCTTCTTTATTGGTTCAGGCAGGTACAGGTCTCAAGATTCAAGTTGATTCAGCATGATTTTGCCTACGCGGCGTCTCTGTGCGTCGGTCGTCCCTCGACAACGCAGTCGACGTTCCCCAACTGATGCACAGAAAAACTGGGTGCCTTTTATACCAGCATAACTGTTGAGTTAACATCTTCATGGAAACATACACAGCAGTTTTGTCCCAACACGTGTCCCATAACAGACTGGCAGATGCTAAAGGTTGGAGACACACCCCTTATCTGTCCCATACACATTCACAGTCCATATGACATCATATCCCAACCCCATTGACACTCCAAAGTCCAGAAACATACACAGCATGTAACAGGGCAAATTAACATATGAATGAAACTTTAAAAACACAGGGTAGAAGCCCACAAGCACAACAGTAAACAAAGTGTCGAGATGGATGTAGACGAAGACAGACATTCTGTGTTGGCAACGATTCTCGACATCAAGGATTTAAAGCCGGAACAAAGAGAATGTTTGGTGCATTTTATCAAGGCGTTATTGCCCTTCTTCCTACAGGATTTGGCGCATTACATACGTCACGACCAAATAGCTGCGATTGGTTAAATGATAAAAGTACCCGCCTACCGTCGAGTGAACGAATCCTAATGCAGCAAGGTCAGACGGAGTGTCCAGCAGCACAGTGTCCAGAATTAAAGGTTGTACGGAGGATTTTTTTTTTGTTTCAAGTTGTCAATGATAGATTATAGAGATGCAGTAGCCTTGTAATTATGATGACCAAAAAAAAGAGAATAAAAATTCATCAACTCTGGACGTGGTGGGGCTAAACATTTGCCAATAGATAACGACACTGCCTCGTTATCTGTGAGCTGACAGGCTGTCAATCAAACTCCCTACGTTTCTAGTGTAACTGACTTGCCTGCGCGCTGCCGGTACGTGGTTTACGTACGACTGTCACACAGTCCACAGACGCAAGACGCACAGACGCTGTTTACTCCACCAACGCAACAGTTCTTAACGGCTTTTTTTGACCTATATCTTCCTCGCAGTTCGCACAAAGTTTGTTGCAATGGCGACAAGAATCCAGGAGCAGTTCGCCGCAAAAGAAAGTCCGTTTTTGAGGTCGCTGAAAGAAGAAGACAAGGGGAAAAGCAGCGAAGCCAAACTAAGGTGATTCTTGGAAGATTCATTCCAGCGATGGCGCGACTGAAGCAGACGAAGGGTCTAAAGACTGACGCACTGGTCCAAATTACTCCTGGACAGGAAACTTCTGCTTATTATGAAAACGTACTTTATTTCCAAGAGTTAGACAAACGTTTTTCAGGACACGAAAGCGATATCCTATGTCTGAAAACGTAATTTTCAAGGCAAAGAAAGAGTCCGCTTGCTGCTGCGTGTTGTAGTTAGTTCATTCGCACGGAATCTCCGCACACTCTTCTCTGCACCCCTTTCCTGCTCCTGTCCTCGCTGCCCGATCCTCACTTCTCGTCCGCGAACGAAATGTCTGCGCCCCCCCTCCCCCCGCTCCTCACTTCTCCGTCTTGCCTAACCAACACTGTAGTTAGTTGTTTACAAGTCATGTGCAGCACCGGCTGTAAACAAACCTGTTTCTGGCGTAAGGAGGAGGAGGGAGGAGGCGTTTCTACGTAGGAGCTGTAGGGGAGGGGGGGTGGTTTCACACATGCGCAACATTTGAAAAAGGACAAACAGTCGCTGGATTTCTCGTTCCTTGTTAAAATCCTCTATACAACCTTTAAACCCCATTGAGCCGGTTTGAGATGAACTGGACAGAAGAATGAAGCGACCTACAAGTGCCGCACATTTATAAGAACTTCTGCAACAGACTTGGGAAGAACTTTCTGAAGAATATTTTGATTTCTGTTGTAAAAAGAACGAGCCACGAGTGTGTTCAGCTGTTATATCTGCCAAAGGTCGACACTTTCATGACTCAAAAGTTAAGAAAACCTTTTGATGAACAGTAAACAGTAAAAAACTTGGTAGTGTACGCTGCAGCTTTGACATGAACATTGTCAATACCCCAAAAATGTTCAATCTGCTGTTTATTAGACCATCTCTCCAGACACCAGCGTTACATATTGTTATATTTATCCCTCAAAAAACAGGTGTAGTTATTTTTTCCAACGTGTAAAGCTTGTTCCCTCTTAAAATGAGCAACAAAACTACAAAGCATCAGCTTCACAAAGACTCCAGACGTTTGTTTGTGAGTAATTTTAGTCTGAAGTTTTAGAGGAAATTGGCCGGTCTGATAATTAAACGCATAACTCTTCCAAACTAAATATACTGAACATTCCATAATTTCCCATCTTATATCGTCTCTGTGCTTTCGTTTTTCTCCTCAGCTCTGCGTTTTCATTTTAAAATCCCAGAAACGGAAACGTCTGACGCAGCGTTTTGGACCAGAATCGTCTTTATTGGAAAAAGATTTGAGCTGCAGAAAAGTTACTGAGGTGAAAAGTCACAGTAACTCAGTCTGGAAGTGTCCGTGTGTGTGTCTGCGTTTGTCTGCCCCGACCCGCCCGGCGACAGAGGGGAGCTCAAATCTGATTGGTCACATTTTATTGAATCAAATAAACGTGACCTTCACAGACCTGAGCCCCGGAGGTTTAAAGAGAAACAGCAAGAAAAGGGATTAATTTATGTTTCATGAACGTGAAAAATAAGGAGTAAAACAGGTCTAAAACAAGATCTAAACCAGGTCTAAACCAGGACTAAAACAGGTCTAAACCAGGACTAAACCAGGTCTAAACCAGGTCTAAACCAGGTCTAAACCAGGACTAAAACAGGTCTAAACCAGGACTAAAACAGGATTAAACAAGGATTAAACCAAGATTAAACCAGGTCTAAACCAGGACTAAAACAGGTATAAAACAAGACTAAAACAGGTGTAAACCAGGACTAAACCAGGTCTAACCCAGGTCTAAACCAGGACTAAACCAGGTCTAAACAAGGACTAAAACAGGTCTAAACCAGGTCTAACCCAGGACTAAACCAGGATTAACAATATCTAAACCAGGTCTAAACCAGGACTAAACCAGGACTAAACCAGGATTAAACAGATCTAAACCAGGTCTAAACCAGGATTAAACCGAAACTAAACCAGATCTAACCCAGGTCTAAACCAGGTCTAAACCAGGACTAAAACAGGACTAAACCAGGACTAAACCCGGCCTAAACCAAGACTAAACCAGGTCTAAATCAGGATTAAGACAGTTCTAAACCAGGTCTAAACCAGGATTAAATCAGGACTAAACCAGAACTAAAACCAGAACTAAACCAGATCTAATCCAGGTCTAAACCAAGACTAAACCAGGACTAAACCCCCTAAACCAAGACTAAACCAGGTCTAAATCAGGATTAAAGACAGTTCTAAACCAGGTCTAAACCAGGATTAAATCAGGACTAAACCAGAACTAAAACAACTAAACAGATCTAATCCAGGTCTAAACCAGGACTAAACTAAACCAGGACAAACCAGTCTAAACAGGATTAAGACAGTTCTAAACCAGGTCTAAACCAGGATTAAACAGACAAAACCAGAACTAAACTAAACAGGACTCTAAACCAGACTAAACCAGGACTAAACCAGGACTAAACCCGGCCTAAACCAAGACTAAACCAGGTCTAAATCAGGATTAAGACAGTTCTAAACCAGGTCTAAACCAGGATTAAATCAGGAACTAAACCAGAACTAAAAGCTGGAACTAAACCAGATCTAATCCAGGTCTAAACCAGGACTAAACCAGGTCTAAACCAGGACTAAACCAGGTCTAAACCAAGACTAAACCAGGTCTAAATCAGGATTAAGACAGTTCTAAATGAGGTCTAAACCAGGATTAAATCAGGACTAAACCAGAACTAAAGAACTAAACCAGATCTAATCCAGGTCTAAACCAGACTAAACCAGGACTAAACCAGGACTAAACCCGGTCTAAACCAAGACTAAACCAGGTCTAAATCAGGATTAAGACAGTTCTAAACCAGGTCTAAACCAGGATTAAATCAGGACTAAACCAGAACTAAAACCAGAACTAAACCAGATCTAATCCAGGTCTAAACCAAGACTAAACCAGGTCTAAACCAGGATTAAACCGGAACTAAACCAGATCTAATCCAGGTCTAAACCAGGACTAAACCAGGACTAAATCAGATCTAACCCAGGTATAACTCAGGTGTAACCCAGGACAAAACCAGGTCTAAACCAGACTCAAAACAGAACTAAACCAGGTCTAAACCAGACTCAAAACAGAACTAAACCAGGTCTAAACCAGGACTAAACCAGGATTAAACCATGTTTAAACCAAGTCTAAACCAGATCTAAACTAGGTCCAGACCATGTC